CTTGTTTCATCGACACCGAAAGGTATTTAATGGCATATCAACAATAAGGAACTTGAATCATTTTTTCAGAGCCATCTGCTAAAAATCGGACGTACTCATTCTAAAAAGAACTTTATGAAAATTGATGAAATTAAAGGCATCTTTTTGCATAGAATTTATGTGCATCACACATAGGATGCACATCGGATGCAGAATGGGCATTTTTGCCCATCCTGATTTTTATTTGTAAATTTTTCTCTTTGTCATAATTGGATCCAATCGAAACCAAAGGCCAGCACACATTTGAACCGAATGCAGCACGATAGTGCTAACAATGAATCAATTTTTGAAAGAATTAAGTAGTTAGGAGTAACTTTAGGTGCAGATATTCGTACATTTTTTTCTGCCAAAATCTATTGAACGGGAATTTGCTGTTTAAATCCTCAACTTTTCCTGTCTTCCCATCTTTACTCCCTCTTCATCTTCCTTCACTTCATACTTAACATTGAGTTTTAAAAAAGCGTAAAACTTTAAGCCTTTTATTATCACTTTTAGCTTGGTAAAGGTAAATTCCTTCTGCATAGTTCGATCCATTATGTGTATGTTTTTAATAACCGGAGATTCGATTATCGAGTCGTAATCGAATGCCCTACGATGAATGACATTGTTCCAATAGGGATTTATTGATCGCAAGGTTCAACCCACTGGAGATTGATAATTACGTCTGGATGCAATTATTCGTGGTCAGGTGACATGTGTATTGCATACTGAATTAAATGAAGGCACCCTACTTATCCTTGCATTGCTAAGATAGAGCTTTATCGATCAAAATCATTCTGTAAAGCAGTGGAAAGAAAAAATTGGACAAAAGTCACATTGGAAGACATAATCAATCAACGGAAATTCATGCGCCACCACCAGTGGCCAACTGTTGATTGGTGCAATTGAGTTTGATCATCAAACTGATCAAACTCAATTGCACGAATGCCGCATCAAAATCTGATGCGGCATTCGTCCACCCTTTTCTTTCCCCAGTTCTACTAATGAGCATTCATGATGCAATCGGATTACCTCGATGCCGTCCTGTAAACTTTAGACAAAATTCAAACACTTTCTTCGACACTTTCTCTCGGTTCAAGCAGAATTTAAGTTGCGCCACGAATAATTTAAACTGAACTGATTGAATTCAAGATACTCATTAAAGCGAGGCATTCCTTGATACCTCAAGTGTGGCTGCACGTAACCTAGGATATAAAAACGACACTCTCCCGACGTGAGGCAGTAAATTCATTTCGATCTGAGCCCTGGAAAGCATCGCGTTACGTGGACGATAGGGCTCATATAAAGATTTAGTTAAGCCTTTTTATTACTCGAGCAACGAGAAGTGAGAAGAAATAGGAAAGGAGCGGTTATCGAGTCGCAGGAATCTGGTAACAAAATCGAGTAAGGGCAGGTCAGCGCGCCCGGACGTAATCAGATTTTTCGATACTGACTCGCACAAAAATAGTGAGAATCGTAGAGTGACAGTTCGCCGGTGGCGATACACTTAAGTTGCCGATACTGTTATTCCTCTATTTAAGTCTATCGTAAATTATCGATTCTAGGTGAGGTTGTCTGCAGCGATATTCATCGATCGTTTTACATGAATTTAAACCAACAAAACCTAGTGGCGATTTTTGAAAGTTCGCAAGACTGGTCTCCATTTGAATCCAGTATAAATAATCGAATCTAGGCGATGCGGTCTGTCTCAAGTGTAATCGATTATTTTACATACGTTGTAATGGAGAAACCCACCACTTTTTCCTAATGTATGAATTCCGCACATCTATGTGTTGAAACAATCGATATTTTTGAAGCAGACCGCCTCATTTTGAATCGATATTTATAATGGATGTAAATTAAGGAAATACAGTTTTACCATCCTCCAAAAATAGCCATTGTGTTACCCTGAATTTTTCGAGCCTCGTCTCAAAATTTGGCAACCTCCATAAGTTGTGATATCGGAGTGTCAAACAAGTCGAACGAAAACGAACTTAAAAAGAGCGTTTACGATAGCTAAATTTCTTCTGCCTTCGCCGTCACTCCCCACCTAGCCTTCTTCTTCTTCTTCTTCTTCTTCCTCTTGAAAATTATGAATTGATTAATAATGTGGCCGGCACGGCGCGTGGGTCCCCGCCTCGGGCCCTGGGGCCTCACTTTCTTGGCCGGTTGAAAGCAGTGTTGCCAGATAGTGCTAAAATCAGCGCTTTTCTCTCATTTACATGCATGGAAAATTTCTACATTTTAACGCACAATTCGGCACTCTTGTTTGCAAGCGACCGCGGCCGGCTCGGGCCCAATCGTATCAACTGTATCAGTTAGCTTTCGAGGTTTTGCCTTATATTCTCCGTTGCTTCGATCTATCAAACGGCGATTTATCGAGATATCGATTGTTTAGCACGGTTCGGTTTTAGATGGCCGCGAGCGTCGCATTTACGCGGCGCCTCCGCGTGTGTGTGCGTTTGCAGATGCGCGTGTTTGAGTGTGAGTGCTGTCGTAAAGTCGACCTACTTCGGGTGGGTACGGGGTATCTTTATATGAGTACTGGTATATTTTCAAGAAGATAAACCTCCTTCGGTGCGCCCGGTTTTTGCACGGTGGTTAGGTGCCATGGTTGTCATATGATGGCATTTTTTGAACAAATTAATTTAAAATTTAAGTATTTCTTAAATACAAATTAAGTTTTTGACTGGTAGTCAGACATAATTATTACCTGAAAATTTTCCTCTCGTCAGTCGGGAGCATTGACAGTCACGGAGGAAAAAAAAAAATCGTTTACACGGATTGGACTTCAGTTCAAACTATGAAACACCAAAGTTTTCAGCCGCAGCAACCGAATTCCGATTACAGTTTTTTCTCCATCTTGTAAAATCGTCAGTTTGGCAATAAGAGACCGTTCCTAGGCCATCGAGGAGCTCCTTAAACCTACCTAGATCACAATGTAAATAATTGGACAGGGATGCAGAAAGTTCGTAACATCTTTATTTTTCAAAAATATCATTCCGTTTTTAAATACCCCTTATCCCTCAGAAATTTCAAAAATATGACTTTTTTATGGCTGTGTACGTATCAATTCCCCCGCTATTTCGCGCAAAACACGTGATCTTTTCCGCAGTTCGGCCAAGAAAAAAAACCGCAATTTTGCCAGATTTCTCATTAAAAACACAACTTTCAGGGCCTTCTCATTTTCACACGTGACCGCTTGCAAACCGCCGTTTACGCACCCCTGCTGGGAGCCTTTTACATAATGGAGCTGCTTTAGGAACGATGTCGAATACAGCCCTCAGTGATAAAGGCAGGAAGGTAAAAACACGTTTTAAAGGCTGACGGAGAAGAAGCAAAGGTCGTAGTGTTGATTGACAGACAGATTCGCGGAATAATTGCACCGGCCGAGCTCCTGGACTTTGACGCGGAGCTCAGCTTAAATTTTCATCTCAAAGTTGAAACGGTCAAGGCTGCGAGCGTCGTAATGGCTGACCTTTCTATCCAACTGAACGTATTCATGCTAAAAGGAACTATGCGCATAGGGTTTGCCTGTAACATAGTTCCTTTTAGCATGAATACGTCCGACTGGACGGCTCCTTTCCCTTTTTCTCTGTCTCCGAGCTGAACTTTCAGTTTCAGTTTCCTCAACTCTGCCACATTTTATCATCGGCATCCTTAGGGTTCTCGCCAGTCGGCGGGATGGATGCCATGAGACAGCGAAAAGAAGAAAAAACTTTTAAATGCTCTCCAGCGTGCGCTGCGCCGTGCCTTGTCAATTCCGCGCGACGCGTTGCGTCGTCTCAGTGTGAAATCTTGCTCTAACGCGAGGTTGCCTCATTTCGTCGCTCTTTTAGCGTAAGGGCGTAAGTCAATTTCCGCGTGAACCCCGAAAAATGTAGAATTAAATATAACACAGGGCTCAGGGTAGCATGAAACGTAAGAAAAAAATGAAACTTTGGAAATTTCAGTGAAATATTTCATATTTTTCAGGGGCTAGCGTATGCAACCCGCACTCAAACACGCAAAAATAGAAGAAAGTCACAATTTATTAATTTTGCGAAACATGAAAAGGAACCGGTATTCTTCAGCATGTTTCATAAATTTCTTAAATTTCATTTGATATTTCACGTGAAATTTCAAGATTTTATTTTTCGTGAAACTTTTGCACCCTGACGGGGCTCATATGGAACTTAAGGTACGCCCTTCCGCCAGACACGAGCGACGATTTATGAGGGAGGATTTAATCGGAGTCAGCCTAACTGGACCGCGTTAAGCAGAAAGAAACCAAGCCACATCAGCTAATGCCAAAGTCAATTGGGCAATTTAATTTTTTCATGAAAACGGTTGTGCGGATTCTTGTACAAATTTAGGTAAATTTTCTGCATAGCGTGAAGAAAATGGCTTAACATTTTCGAAGGAATCCGCACAAAAGTACTCTTATGATACATTAAATTGCCGAGTTAAATTTTTCAATAGCTGATGCTATTTGCTTCCTTTTAATATAAAATATAAATTTATTTATATTTATTATTCCCTGTAAATAAAATAAAAAAAAACGAAAAATAATACTCAATAAAAAAATAAAAAATTAAGCAGCCAAGAGATCGTTTTTCCTGACTGGAAAATGTTTCTGCATAATTTAAGCTACTCTTTTGCTTAACTCAAACATAAGTCCTTGAATCCTTACGCCGAACGACGTCCATAGGTTCCGCTAAAAAAAAAAAAAAACAACAAAAGCGTAAGTCTACGCGCGGCGATGAAAGATGAAACGCGGGGCTGGCCGCGACCTTGGGCGTCCTTGAGCGACGGGGATGCGGCGTAACGCGGGAGCAGTGATTCAACTGTCATCGTGGCCGGCCCGGGTAATTCGGTGGACCGAAGCCGAAAACCGGGGGAAAAGTGGGCGCGCTGATTGGCCGCCGCCGCTGCCCCCACCGCGGCGCGTTGTATAACGGACGGAGCTTTTTTCTGGCGGGACCCGTTTGAGAAGCTGTTGACAAGAGCGCCACGAGAGAAAGGTTGCGCTGGACCGCGTTCGAAAAAGTGATATTTTCTCTCAGTGCCAGCTCAATCCCCGAGCGAATAGTTTCAGTGATAATCTAACACATGTGTAGTGCGCCCCAAGCTTACCGGCCATGCTTTACCTGCAGGTAAGCGCTTGTTTGTTTACGTTTTTCATACCGCGCTCAAGCCCTCGTCGTTTTGTTTTTCTACCCGTGCGTTCAAGTCTTTTTCGTCTCACTGAGCATTCTGCCGAATTGCAGGGGTTTCCCCGTTTATTTCCTTTTAAAGTACGTTATTTTACGTTCCTGGCTGTGCGTTTACATTTTCGCTGTTTTCAATGCATTCGTTGAATTTTCTCCGTGTGCTCCAATATTTTTCGTTCGATTGAAGATTCTACCGAATTGCAGGGGTTGTTTCATTATAAATCATTCTAAAAAATAGTTATTTTACGTTGCCGTCAGTGCGTTTAATTTTCCAAATTTTACTGTTCCAAAGGCGTTTGTCTATTTCTCTACCTGTGCGTTTGAATCTTTTTCATCTGCCTAAGCATTCTAACTAATTATGCAGGGGTTTTCATTTATTTATTTGATTTATTTTTAAAAAAGTTAATTTACGTTCCTGTCCGTGAGTGTACATTTTCAAATTTTACTGATCTGAATGAATTATTCCTTTATTTTTCTGTCTGTGCGTTAAAACTTCTTTTGTCCGACTGAGCTATCTTACGAATTGCAGGGGTTCTTTCAATTAATTTGATTTCAAATTAACTTATTTTACGTTCCTGACCGTGTGTTTACATTTTCACTGTTTTCAATGTATTCGTTGACTTTTCTACCCGTACGTTCAAGTCTTTTTCATTCAACTCAGGAAGCTCCCTGATTGCAGGGTTTTCTCGTGAAAAAGAATTGTACATCTCCACGGGCGCGTTTAAGTTTTTGCTAATTTTGATGCATTCGTTTACTTTTGTACCCCCGTGTTCAAGTCTCTTTTGATTCATTTTGGGATCCCCCTGCTTTAAGGAGTTCTCGAAAAAAGCTATTGTACTTTTCCGTTCGTCCGTTTATGTTATTACGGTTTTCAATGGATTTGTTCACTTTGCTGCTGTAGGTTCAAGTTTCTCTCGTTCAATTGAGGAATCTCCTCGTTTGCAAAATTTTTTCGATGAAGGTCCCTTTCACGTTTTTGTTCTTCAATTTTAAGTTTTTCTCAGATTTCAATAGATTTCTTTACTTCCCTATTCGCGCGTTTAAGCAATTGCCGTCTTATTGAGGAATCTCCTTTTTGCAGGATTTCTTGAAAATGTTTCTTTACGTTCCCACGTACTGGTTATTCACTTTTAGAATATGACACATTCTATTAATTTTTCTTCCCAATCCCCTGATCGGGTATGAATAACACTTCGAAAGATTTTTAATGGCTTTCAAAAAATTCTAGCTATTTTTACAGCCAATGCTTTGTTATAATTTCGGTTTAATTGCATGGAATTTGTGTGATAAATTTCTTCATTTTCTATCCGTGAATTTAAAACCATCGATCAAAGTAAACAACATGAATTATGATTTTAAAAAAATTATTTATACATAAATAAAAAGGCAAATTCCGAAGAAACCTAAAAATGATTTGCACTGAATTTGTCATTGCACAGCTCCATCAGTGGACTCTTTAGTGAAATTACTCGTGAGACCAAAGTTTTCTGGGAATTTATTATCGAACATTAATCGCAATAGGTTTAGGGACCAGACTCATTCATTATTTAAGACTTTCAGAGTCAGTACTTCGATACGATCTTGCGAAAAAATATGTTTCATAAAATTTTGGATGGATTCGAAGCGTTAAATCGTAGACCAAAAGACTTCCACATCTGAAAGATTTGACTCTATCAGAGGTTTGGTGTTAAAATATTAAATAAACAATAAGTCTCGTATTTTTTCTTACACAATTGAAATCTTTATAATTGTAATATCTCATAAATTATAAAATCTTTTACCAAAAAGTTAAATTCCCGTGTCTATTTCCGATGGATAGTATGTCATTTACTTCTCCGTGTCTTCAACGTTTCCTATTTTTGAGATCTGATTTACCCAAAATATACGTCGTAACCACTTTACGTGATTCTATGCTTTTAGGTCTTAAATCGTTTTCTAATGATAGGGATTATGGTGGCCACACCTATGGTTATCGAAAAAAGAAGAAAGATCAGACGGCAAAAATTACGGGTTACACACATCATAAGATCCAATTCGCTGTTCATAAATTACGTATAATCACACAGGAAGGAAGTTGTGGGTGCAGGAGCCCGTATTTAAATTTAGGGCACTTTTTTGCGTTCATGTCAAAAGTAAAAGTTCTACGTATGGCAAAGACTGCGGTTATTAAACGGTAATATAAATGACTGCTATTATTAATCTAGATTAAGTCGCTTTAAAAAAAATCTGAGCGCGTTTAGTTTTGTGATCATTCTCTTTCCCAGATAAATTAAAGGACCGGCCAAAAATTACGTGCCACACTGAAGAGAAGAGGGGTTGTGAGTTCAGGCGATGGGGGAAGAAGGAGTTCTGTAACTGCATAATGTCACGCACACATTTTTTCAAAGCGACATTTTTTTGGAAATATTTATATAGTCTCGATAAAAATATTGACAAAATATGACTAATTTTTCGTAAAACGAGGGAGTCGGGCAGAATAAGTAAGGAATAACTAGGGAAATCTGTAGGGAGGGCGAAAGGCTCGAATTAGCGTTTAACAGCTAGGGCCTAATCATGGGTGAAGGGACCGAAACTCCCGAAATCCAGACGAGGGGCCCTATAGACAAAGTCCATCATCTTCCCCCTTAGTCTGTAACAATCATCCGCTCCAACCAATAGGTTCGCTCCAATTTTCCTTTGTCTTCTCCATCTAGAGCTTTGTCTATCAATTTCAATTATCAGCCCGCTGGGAGGCTTCTAAATCAGTCTATTCCAATCCTTTACCCCTCCCCAAATATATCAGATTTTCGGGGACCACAAGAAAAAACCCCTCGTTGATTATTCCAATTTGACACATTTTCTCGGGCACAGAAGCATAAATGATTGACTGTCCATATATCTCCATTTGAAGCTATGGTAAAGTATTGATTATTGAGGTGTTCGTTGCAAACACCCTGTTTATCGATCCTCCTCTATAGGTTTGAATGGGAAAATCGATAATCGATCATTCACGCCTCGCTACTGTTCTGTGCCCGAGAAAATGTGTCAAATTGAAATCACCGGGGGTTTTTCCTTAATGTACCTTAAAATCTGATATATTTTAGGCGGTGGGGGCTGAATTGGAATAGATTGATTTAAATGCTGCGCAGCGGGTTGATTATTAACATTGATGAACAAAACTATGTTTACAAAGCAGACAAGATAAATTAATCGATCCTATCGGTTGAAACGGACGGTTTTTCTAGACTAAGGGGGAAGAATTTTCTGTTTATGGATCCTTCTCCATAGCTTTAAATGACAGATCAATCGATATATCGCAAAGCGCGCCAAGCCACTGGCTCAGAATCTCCGACGGAGGCACCGCGGAAGAAATTTTCAGGGCTGTGAATTTAATCGAGTCCGGTAAAGAGAATAAGCTGCTGTGGGTTGATTGATCACTCATGCGGGCCGTTTTCGCGGAGGAAGCTGGAAGTGGGATCTGATTGGCCATAATTGAAACCAAGCGTAACGACCCCTTATTAGCCGGACACCCGACTAATCGAATTTCTCCAGCCTTGAACATGACCTTGATCCCTGCCCGCTCCCCCGTAATCACCAAGGCGCAGAGTGCACTCTCCTTGGTTGGTCACCCATCGACCGCACACAGGGCCACGCTTCTATCCAGGAATACTAGACGCCTTTGTATAGGGAGGTTGGACACTGAAAAAAAATTCTCGGCGTTTTTACCAAGGTCCGTGGGTACCTTTACCATCTCACTTTTTTTTACCAATTATTGGTAATTTTACCAAGACAGACTGGTAAGCTTACCTAAAAACCGGTATTTTTACTGTTTTTCCAATGCCAATTTATTGGTAATCAATGCCCGGTAACTTTGGCATTTTATCTCGGTAATTCTACCACAGTCAATAAAAAATATTGGCGTTTTTACCAAGGCCCAGTAAAATTACCGAGAAAGTTCAATAATTTTACCGAGATTTCTCGGTAAAATTACCAGTTCCATAAATGGTAATTTTTCCAAGAAAAAACAGGGATCAAATAGAACCTTGAATTCTTGGTAATTTTACCCTTTTCTTAATAATACACCGAGAATTTTTTTTCAGTGGATGCTACAAGCTGATTGTTAAAATTGATAAACAAGGTGATAGACATAGAAGAGCGATTCTTCGTTGAAACGGCACGGGGTTGTTGGATGATATGATGGACATTCCCAGTGTTTCTCCAATAAATTAGATTACTGATCTACATAAATGTTGCGGTACTTCCCCATTTTTAGTTGCGGTACTACCACAATTAATTGAAAAAGTCCAATCATCCAACGAATTGGGACAGTAACACAATTTCCTTTAATTTTTTTTGCTCATAGAAACGATCAAGAACTTGACGGCTGGATAAATTGAGGTACTTGTTACTGTTCTGTAAGATTCGACTATCACAGCACAGCTCTACGGTACGCAACACTGATGCCCGAAGTGCGACACCACGTCTCTTTATTGCGGTGTTTCAAAATATCTGCCTTCATTTTATTTTTTCGAAGAGGAAAAAGTCAACTTATAAACTTGAAATTTATACAAAATATCCTACTAACTGAGAATAAAAATCAAGGAAGTTTTCAAAAATTACGTTTACTAGTTTTCCGAGTTTAGCCATGGAAATTATTTTCATTAAATTGACTTAGCTGAACGTTCACAATAACGATTAAATCCGGTGATGCCTCTATTTGTTCCATAAAATCAGTTTTTTGTACAAGTTTCATCTGATCTTTACTAGTGTGCGGAGTTGAAAAGTGGCCACACACTTGCTAACTAGTTTCCTTTATCCGTCCCATTTAATCGATTGTTTTAATTCAAAGCTGCCAGGAGCACGCTTCCACATCCGCGAGGGCTAAAGTCAAAAGCACACAAATTGCTGGCTGTGGGAAAGAGTGACGGAGGGAGGGGGAGAGGGGCAAAAACTTTACCGGGAAA